TGTAGAATAGAAACTGGCACAGCCAGCACGGGAGGACGTGAATGCAGCAGTCAACTAACCATCGCATATGGTGCAATTTAAGACAGACTTAATCCCCTTACCTCACCAGTAGCACATGCAGCAGCATGGCTCACCATTCTCAGTAGGTGCTTGCTCAGCACCGGCATGGCAGCATGCATGCAGCAGAGCAACTGACAGATCCACCATTCCAGTTTGGAGCCTCTCAGCTCACCATTCAGCACGTGGGAAGGAGTCTATTTATGACGCGCCTCATTAACAGTTTAGACCCTATTTTTGAGGCGCCTCAAAAACAGTTTGGACCCTCTCAGCTCACAATTTAGCACATGGGGGGGGGAAGATGTGTTCTGACCCCCCCCCAGGGGCCTCTCCTTCCAGGTGATGGCATCGCAAGCGAGCATGGCAGCAGGAATGCAGCAGTGAAACTCACCACCTGACTGTGAATCCTGATTGTGAATCCTCCGTACCCACCACCTGATTCTAAATCCGCCGGACTCGCCAGTCGCACATGGAGAAGAAGATATCCTTCCCTGTGGCGTCCAGTGCACTCTGCATGGCCTTGTGTGACTCGAGTATAGCAGCACGGTAGCATGCAGGCATGGATGCAGCAATGCAACTCACCATTCGCACATGGAGAAGAAGATGCCCCTCCCAGTGGCGTCCAGTGCATTGCGCATGGCCGTGTACCTGATGGTTGATGGTTGATGGCATTCAGTAATATGGGAGGCATGGCATGGCATGGCATGGGAAGGCAGGCAGGTAAGGCATGATATGGTAACATTCCAAACCATTAGCTACCACTATGGCATGGTTTGAACCAGATTAAAACAGAACCCGAGGGATAGCAAGGATAAGCGCTCATAAATGTTGGGTGACGGAGAGGCAACATCGGCAGCAGGAATGCGCAATGCCGTTTGAACCAGATTGAACAAAAGCTGAGAAATAGCTGAGATAAGCGCTTATAAATGAAAAATAGCAGAGATAAGCGCCTATAAATGCTGGGTAGCGGAGCGGCAACGAGGTGACTTTTGATTCGGACTCAAAAGTGAGATCGTTTGAGCCAGCTTGAGACACCAAGTTGTGGGATCGCAGCGATAAGCATGCACGAATGAATGCTGGGTGGCAGGAGGCTTTTCATAATTCTCAAAAACACCCTGCAAAGACGATTTTTGAGGCGCCTAAAAAATCTTTTCATAATTCTCAAAAACACCCTGCAAAGACGATTTTTGAGGCGCCTCAAAAATCTTTTCATAATTCTCAAAAACACCCTGCAAAGACGATTTTTGAGGCGCCTCAAAAATCTTTTCATAATTCTCAAAAATACCCTGCAAAGACGATTTTTGAGGCGCCTCAAAAATCTTTTCATAATTCTCAAAAACACCCTGCAAAGATACGCCTGCATGAATGCTGGGTAACGGAGAGGCAACGGCAGCAGGAGGACAAACTTACCGCTTCTGGCTTGGACTCCCATCGTTAATACAGTTGTCATACTTGAGGTAGTCAACTCCCTGCCACATATAATAAAAGCATATCAGTGCAGGGCGTGAGCAGAGGGCGTGAGCAGAGGGTGTGAGGACGGGGCGTGAGCACGGGAGGTGAGCACGGGGTGTGCGCACGGGGTGTGCGCACCCCATTCTCTGATGCATGCATGCATGGCGCACGGAACAGTCATTGGGCGGAAGTGATCTCGCCAAGGATTCAGCAAAGCGTAAGGAAGTAGACCTACTATAATTACCTATTATGTAGAATTTACCCATTATGTAGCATTTACCCATTATGTTGAAAACATGACCCATTATGTAGAAATTATTACCCATAACGTAGAAACAATTACCCGTTGTGTAGAAAATATTACCCATTATAATTACCCATTCAGCGAAAGTGGATGCATCCGTAGCCTCATGCCCAAGTGAGCCTGGCTTGCCTGCGCACGTACGAAACCTGATGGGCGTGGAGTGTAGATTTATAACTTAAAAGGAAGGCTCTGATGGAGTGGCTAAATAGGTCGATTTTGAGACGTCAGAAACTAACCTACTTACTTAACCTCGGAGGAACTTAGAACTTAGAGTGGCGTGGAGGTAGAACTTAGAACGAAGGCCCTGATGGAGAGAACGAAAACGGACTGAGCATACGAGCGTATGACGAGCACAAAACCTGGTCAACTTAGCGGGCATCTAGTTTTGAGGCGCCTCAAAACTTAGCGGGCATCGATATGCACACACTGTCACATCGGATCGGAGCAGTTACCCGCTGCAGATAGACCTTACCCAGCATCGGAGTAGATCTTTGGCTCCCAGCATGAGCCCCTTGCTGTGCACTTTACCCTCAAGTCCCTTCCTTTCCGTATCACCAACCGTGCGCAGCGCAGCACTATACGCTGTCTTACCCAGCATCGGAGTAGATCCCCAGCTTGAGCCCCCTGCTGTGCACATAGTCCGCAAGCGCCTTGATTCCCGAAGGGAAGGAGTCGGGCGAAGGCACCAGGCGACCCTGATCACAGCAGGCAGCGAAGGAGAAGAGAATGTGATGATGGTCCGGAGGTATGGGATGCACGGGATGTATGGGATGCGTGGGATGTGTCAGATGTGTGGGTGGGATGTGTGAGATGCATGGGATGTATGGGAGGTGTGAGTGGTATGGGATGTGTGGAATGCATGGGATGCGTGGGATGTGTGGGATGCATGGGATGCATGGGATGCATGGGATGGGATGAATGAGAGGCAACGATGGGGGAAAGCATTCACCCACCTCAGAGTCTCGGGAGTCGGCCTGCCAGCAATCATCTGCAGAAGGACCAACTCAACACGTCAGCAACAAGTCAGTCAGCACAGCCCCCGCAGCCACAGCCCAGTCAGCCACGCCCCAGCCATAAAAGGACTGGCAAATTTGCGATAAAATGACTATATTCGCTCATGGATGCTGGGACGCGCATATCAAGCACCACAACCACAGTATCTACCACGGTATCGTCTCACCGATGTTGACATAGATGTATCCAAGGGCTGCGAGTCCCGAGGATACGAGCTTGTCCGCTGTAAGGGAGCGACAGGGAGTTATGGATGCAGAGGCACACACAGCACACTTTAGAAGACAACAGGGCACAGCAATACACAGCAATGCACTGCACACAGCAATACACAGTAATACACAGCAATACACAGCAATACACAGCAATGCACAGCAATGCACAGCAATGCACAGCAATGCACAGCAATGCACAGCACACAGCAGCACACAGCAGCACGGGATGATTGGTGAATCCTGCGAGTGAGCGAGAGCTGCAGGTCCCGAGGATTCGCGCGAGACGAGATTGGATTATGGGAGCAGTGGCACATCGTTACAATGTCACACGATACAAGCACGAGGGGAGTCGGTTGCACTACCTTGGGTTCGCACAATGTCTTCGGTGACGTTGCATTGGAAATGGTTCCAGCTGTTCCATCTGCCACGTTACACGCCACGTCACACGCCACGTCACACGCCACGCACACAGTCACATCACATTGCAAGAACGGACGGGAACTACCAAAGCAATAGTAAGCGAAGGAATAGGAGGGGAACTTGGTCGCCATCGTCTTCGCCAGAGGTGTTACCCGAGGGGCGGAGTTCGCGAGATATCTCGCGCTCGACCATGCACCGCGACGGTCTCGGCGGAAACTTCGCTCTTGCTTTCTCCTCCAGCGCTCCGAGCAGCAGAAGCTTGAAGGGCGAGAAGTGCGAGAGAGTGACAGAAGCACGCAGCTACTAATGGTGGGAAACCGCTCCGTGGTCTCGTCGACATTGCGTCGCGACTAGCCGAGTCGATCGAACAAAACGACGAAGGGAGCAGCGAGTGCTTATGCGATCATGAATGAACAAAGCGAATGGGCGAAAACTATAATTTTGAGGCGCCTAAAAAATAGACTCCTCACTCATGCGATCATGAATGAACAACGCGAATGGGCGAAAACTATATTGTAGGACTAGGAACGGGCTGGGACGGCTATGCCTCGCAACGAGCTGGTCGCTATCCGGACACGGCAGCGATAGCGACGGGGTCATTGCGAGGCATCCTACAATGAGCTGATCGCTACTATCTTCGCTACGTCTCGCAAGGGATCGTTCGTTATCGTCGCTATCATCGCTATCATCGCTATCATTGCGAGTCGAGGCTGAGCTTGTGCGCTTCCCAAAATCCCTATGCTCGACATGCCCAGACGCTGCTAAATCACTGCCCGTGGTCTGTGATGATGTCAACATTATTCGACATTCAACGCTCGACATTCCTGTTGACTGGTGGCTGACTGTCTTATAATGCTATCAATCTTGCTGACAGGCCGACTGTCTGTCTGTCAAATCCTTCTGACAGCGACTCTGATCGGTAAGTTCGACTTGACAGTGACTCAGCTGCAGGGTAGAGTGTCTGCTCTGCTCTGCAGCCAAGTAAGGCTTGTGAGCAAGAAAGTGAGGGCGTGGTGCATAGAGTTGCGCGCGGTGCAAAGAGTTGTGCAACCCGCTTGAGTTCTTAAAGCCGGATCGGTTACAACTTCGCGAAAATTTCGACGGCTCCTCGCAAGTCTCTTTACCAGAAAAAAATCATCCCAAAACCGCAACTAGTTGCGCAATTTTGAAAGCGCAGCTCTAGGCACCAAGCTGGCTCTAGACAATTGCTTTCGGGGATAGAACGGACTTCTTCAGGACGGATTCCGTGTTACAATTCAGAGGCAGTACATTCAGTCTTTTGGGATTCACTTCTCTCCACGTGTAATGCAGACAGCAATGGCATTTGAAATGAAACGAGACTTTATTTCGTTCCGAAAACGAGTCAGTAGAATGATCCGCATATTATAGACAGCCCATGCGTCATCATTTACAAACGGGCTGAAACACTTACCTACAGAACTATGGGACAGGCAGACAATTATCGTTCTGACGATCCACTTTATATCGTGTACACATGAACGAGCACATATTTCGTGGTTCACTCGTGCCATCAGCATTTGAAGCTACTTTGAGCCCAGCCCAAAAAGTTTTAGCTTGCTAGCACGCTCGATAACAGCAATCACCCAAACGAAAGTGTGTGAAGCCACGGAATCGGCCCAGCAGCCATGGCGTCCGTTCCTCACTCGCATCTCCGATCGTCCTTCAGCACGCGCCACTATCACTCACCTCACCTTCCCACAAGCACTAAGTCCGCCTTTTTAGGGGGGGCGTTAGAACGATCACGACAGCCATGCGGTGTTCGTGCAATCCCAGCCGTAGGATCCAATTCCCATCAGCAGATCGAACGGCGAATCGGCATTTGGGCAATCGGCGGGCCGCCGGGAATGGGTGCATTCCCGCGGCCACAGCAAGGCGGGAACGTGCTCAAGGTACTTCACAGTTTGCGTTAGCTCTGATTAGTAATCATTTCCCGTTAGCTCTGATTAGGCGTCTCAAAATCGACGATGCTCTCAAACCCGGTCTGCATTGAGCACTGAACTTCTCTCCTTCGTCTCCCCCCTCCAACAGTTGGTGGTGCAAGGCCCTATATGCTCCCCACTAGGCACCACTATCCTCTCCGCGCTCTCCTCTGCTCGCGGGCTGCAGCTGGCTGCTGTAAACGCATGCCCTTCCCTTCCCTTCCCCTCCCCTCCCCCCTCCCCCCCCTCCCCTCCGTCCTTCAGCTAGTTGTGAACGGCCCCGTGGCCTCGCCTCTGGGCGCTACCATCCTCTCCACCCTCTCCTCTGCTCGCGGGCTGCAGCTGGCTGCTGTGGTGGACGGCAATCCCGAGGCCAACGGGAGAGATGCTGGGGAGGTGAGAGGGGTGAGGGAGGGGTGGGGTGGGGTGGGGTGGGATGGGGGGGAAGTTTAGGCATAGAGGACAAGGGAGACGTGGGGAAGGTGACGGCTAGCAATGCTCTCTTCAGCTGGCTGCTGTGGTGGACGGCAATCCCGAGGCCAACAGTAGGGAGGGAGGCTGAGTAATTGCAGTATGGGCGTATATGGAGTATGATAAGCCAGCGTATATACGCAACACGAGCTGACTTTTGAGTCGACTCAAAAGCCAACAGGAGGGAGGGAGGCTGAGTAATGGCAGTATGGGCGTATGGAGTATGATAAGCCAGCGTATATACGCAACACGCTCGGTTTGGGACCCTGTATACGCTATGTAAACGCTAGTCAGGGCAGGCAAAACATTTTCCGGGCAGTGAAAAATTTGGAAAAGGGGGAAGGGGGGAAGAGGTGGATGTTGAGCAAACGGTTCAATTGCAACTTCAACCAAAAAACATAGTCTAAGAAGCATAATAAATAAGCATCATGCCAAGTTTCCAAAGCCCAATTCCCTCAGCCACTGAATTTCATCTCCAAGTTCCAACTACCACAACCTCTTTCGCTTAGTAAGTTAGGGAACGAGCTAAAGCTGGCGGGGAATACGGCTGGTAAGTTACGCGCGCTAAACTAGGTGTAGCGCATTTGGTGGGAGAGAGGGGGAGCGCACATTGTCAGGTGGGTTGGGTTTGGTAGAGACATTGGGGTGCAGCGCGGTGGTGGGGAGCGAAATGGTTGGATCTTGATTCCTTTTTGGGTATCGCAACTTTGCGTATATCCGCTCGTATAGCGTACATACGCTCCCCAAATTTTGCGCATAGTGCAACTAACTAAGTGGGTAGGTGAGAGGGATATTTGAAAGGCAGAGGGGGGGTGCAAGAGGAAAGGTGATTGGGGGCAGAGAGAGAGAGAGAGAGAGAGAGAGAGAGAGAGAGAGAGAGAGAGAGAGAGAGAGAGAGAGAGAGAGAGAGAGAGAGACTGCCCAACGCCGCGCAGTTCCCTTCCCCCCTTGTCTCTGTCGCCCCCCCCCCTCCTCCATCTCTCCCCCTCCCCCATGTATCTGTTGCTTCAGGTGGCGGGAATACCTGAGCCTTTGGAGCTGCCTGTGGTAGCTGATGTCATCATGGTGCTGGCCTCCGTTGCTCAGGTGCCTGTTCTGTTGCCCAGGTGCTTTCTCTGTTGCCCAGGTGCTTTCTCTGTTGCCCAGGTGCTTTCTCTGTTGCTCAGGTGCTTTCTCTGTTTCTCTGCAGCCTGTTCCCTTGCTTCCCCATTGCCAGTCTTTATGCGTGCTGCTTCTGTAGCGCCTTCAAATATGAATCTGCTTTGAGCCTTCAAGACTGGAGATTCGACATGTCCCACCTCCCTCTGTCCCACCTCCCTTGAATGCAGTCTCGGTCCACAGGAGTGTATGTTGACTTCACAGGCGATGCCTCTGCTGCGTGTGAGAACGTGCGGCAGGTGAGAGAGGGACTGAGAGGGAAGGAATGTGTGAGCGGTGTGCGTGGGTGGGTGTGTGGGCGTGAGCGAGGGAGCGGCCTCAGGGGTGATTTCACAGGCGATGCCTCTGCTGCATGCGAGAATGTGGTTAGACTCCGGGGCGGGGAGGCTGAGAGGGGGAGAGGCGGAGAGGGGAGAGGGGGAGAGGCGGAGAGGGGAGAGGGGGAGAGGCGGAGAGGGGAGAGGGGGAGAGGCGGAGAGGGGAGAGGGGGAGAAGCAGGGGGGAGGAGGCGGAGAGGGGGGAGAGGCGGAGAGGGGGGAGAGGCGGAGAGGGGGGAGAGGCGAAGAGGGGGGAGAGGCGGAGAGGGGGAGAGGCGGAGAGGGGGGAGAGGCGGAGAGAGGAGAGGCGGAGAGGGGGGAGAGGCGGAGATGGGGAAAGGGGGAATGTGCTTGATTGTGTATGGGTATGTGTGTGTCGGTGTGAGTGAGTGGGGGTGTGTGCTAACTTCATAGGCAGTGCCTCTGCTGCTGTACAAGGTTGAAACCTCCCCTTCCTCCCCTCTCCCCCCCCCCCCCCCGACCACCACCACCACCACTTCCCCCCGTCCCTTTCCATGCCACCAGGCAATAGCATTCGGCCTGAGCAGCATGGTGGTGAGGAATGAATAGCGTCGAATAACCACCCTTCCCACCAAAAAATCCTGCATCCCCTTCCATTCTTCTCTTTCCCCCCCCTCCCTCCTCATACCGCCAGGCAACAGCATTCGGCCTGAGCAGCGTGGTGGTCGGAGCGTCGATACCAGAGGATGACATCAGCGGCCTGTACGAATTCTGTGACAAGGCCTCGACTGTACGTACTGAACACGCCCTGTTAGCTTCAGTTTTCTGCCCCGCCCGTGTCTTTAGTTGGCTTGGATTCATCACGCATGTTCGTTCATTCACGTAGGAATGTGCTTCACCACGCCCATGACCAGGAATGTGCTTCACCACGCCCATGACCAGGAATGTGCTTCACCACGCACATGACCAGGAATGTGCTTCACCACGCACATTCCTTCACTGTCCACCATGAACATGCCCCGCTCGTGTCTTTAGTTGGCTTAGCTTCACCATGCACTGTGCTTCACCATGCACTGTGTTTCACCATGCATGTGCTTCGCCATGCACTGTGCTTCACCATGCACTGTGCTTCGCCATGCACTGTGCTTCACCATGCACTGTGCTTCGCCATGCACTGTGCTTCGCCATGCACTGTGCTTCGCCATGCACTGTGCTTCGCCATGCACTGTGCTTCGCCATGCACTGTGCTTCGCCATGCACTGTGCTTCGCCATGCACTGTGCTTCGCCATGCACTGTGCTTCGCCATGCACTGTGCTTCACCATGCACTGTGCTTCACCATGCACTGTGCTTCGCCATGCACTGTGCTTCACCATGCACTGTGTTACCTTTGAGGTGACTCAAGGAAATCACATATGCCCCGCCCGCCCATCTCTCTGTGTTATGTTTTTTAGAATTCTCAAGAACAAAACTTATGCCCTGCCCGCCCATGTCATGTCTCTGTGCACTTTCCCATGCACCTCGGTTGCAATTCCCCATGCACCTTGTGAGTTTCCGCATGCACCTCGTGTGCGCTTCCCCGTGCACCTCGTGAGTGCACCTTCTCTTCTCCCGCTTCCTGCTCTCATACACCACAAACAGGCGCGTGATGCGAGTGTGATGTGAGTGTGATGTGAGTGAGTACACGAAGATTCAAAGTCCTGACCCCCCTCAGAACTATGGCTCGCCCCAACTCCTGTTCGCCCCCCTCCCGTGTTCCTTTCCCTTACACGGCTGCAGGATCCTTACCGGGTGTTTATTAGAATTCTCAAAAACACTCTGCGCGATCCTCACTCCCCACCAGTCTCAGCATCCTTTCCTCGTCTGCACTGGAGGTTTTCTTCTAACTGGGCTCCCCTAACCTACAGTCTTGAGAAGCAAGACTTGATGGAAACAAGGCCTCGGCAGTGGAGTCATTTTTTAGAATTCTGAAAAATTACTCCACTGTAACCGGGCTCCCCTAACCCACAGACTTGATGGAAACAAGGCCTCCACAGCCCACTGTAATCCATCTACGACTCCAGCATCCATACTCCCCACCAGTCTCAGCGTCCTTTCCACGTCTGCATTGGACTGGAGATGCCTTGAAGCACCCATGCGTGCATCATCCCCCCCTGCTGAATCAGCACCAAAGGATGTCCCATTTTTCCTCTTTTCCTCCCCTTTTCCTCCCCTTTTCCTGCCCGTTTCCTCCCCCTTTTCCTCCCCTTTTCTGCCCTTTTCCTCCCCCTTTCCTGCCCTTTTCCTGCCCTTTTCTGCCCTTTTCCTCCCCCTTTCCTGCCCCTTTCCTGCCCTTTTCTTCCCTTTTCCTCCCCATTTTCCTGCCCGTTTTCCTGCCCTCTCTCCCTCGCCTTTTTCGTCCAGGGGTGCATCATCGCGCCCACTCTCAGCATCCTATCCATTCTGCTGGAACGAGCTGCGACACAATTCGCCTTCCACTCCTCGCACGCACACATCATCGAGTCAAGAGCTGACCTGGCTCAGGTGAGGATGTGGCACAGACAATGCCTGCAGTGACGGCTGAGCTGTGCTTGAGTCGACTCACACGTCAGCCGCAGTATGCTTTCCACAGCTCTCGTGTCCACATCATTGAGTCGCGCGCTGACTTGACTCAGGTGGGGTTGCCATGCAGAGTGCACTCCTCCCGTGCTGAAAGCGTAGGGATACATGCTCAGCTGCCACACAGCTGGATTCCACAGCTCGCATGCCCACATCGTCGAGTCGCGCGCTGACCTGACCATGTAAGGTTTCAAACCTTACAAGTTACATGCATGTCCAAACTTTCTCGTGCGACCAAACTGGGACGAAACAAGCGATTGACCCCTTCCACCGCAGTCCCCCCCTTCCACAACCCCTTCCACAACCCCTTCCACAACCCCTTCCACAACCCCTTCCACAACCCCTTCCACAACCCCTTCTACAACCCCTTTCCGAAGCAGCATGCTAGTCTGCCCAATCTGCCTCGTGCTAGTGGCCGTCGGATACCATGCAATCTATGGATATGCCATGTCATCATGTACGAATGCATGTACCATGTGCCATGTGGTACGTGGTATGTACCATGTGCCATGTGGTATGTGGTATGGACGATGTGTTATGTAATATGTACCAAGTCCCATGTCCTGTGTTTCATGCACCATCCCCTACATGCCACCCACAGGCGCCATCGGAAGATGCTGTTCGCTTGGCTCAGCAGTTGGCGCAAGTCGGCCGCACATTCAATGGCATCGATGCTTCTGACGACCCAGTGAGTTTTAGAAGTGGTGCGCTTGCATTGATCCCACATGTCACATGCCACATGTCACATGGCACATGCCACATGTCACATGGCACATGTCGCATGCCACATGTCACATGCCACATGTCACATACCACATACCACATACCACATGTCACATGCCACATGCCACATGTCACATGCCACTTGTCACATGCCACATGCCACATGCTACATGCCACATGGCACTGCCACATGGCACAAGCCCCATGCCACATACGACACATGCCACATGCCGCATGCAACACGGTACATGCCATATGCCGCATGCAACTTGCCACATGCAACACGGTACATGGCATGGCACATGCCTCATGCCCCATTCCACATGTCACATGCGACATGCGACATGCCATATGCCACATGCGACATGCCACATGCCACACACCACATGCCACATACCACATGCCGCATGTCGCATGCCACATGCCGCATGCCTTTGTCAGATGCCACACACCACATCGAATAGAGTATATGAGCGCACAGCAGCCTATGCTTTCTCATTCTTGTTCTCTTTCCCATTGCCCTCGTCCTACGTCTCACTCCCCTCCTGTCCTCCTGTTCATTTCTCCGAGCAGGCTTGAGGCTTACTGATAAAGGAGGGAGTGAGGGTGCTGCACTGCCTTACCCCATTCCCCTCCCACCTTCCCCTGTGTCTCACCTTTTCCCCGCTCTCCTGAGCAGGCTCGAGGCTTACTTATGGAGGAGGGAGTGAGGGTGCACAGCATGCAGCAACCCGGGCTGCTGCAGAGCACGGACGTGCGGCTAGGGAGCAATGGGCAGGTGGGTTTTCGTGAGCCTACGTATCTGTGCATGTGTTGTGCATATGTACGGGCATGTAGGCACAGGTGCAGGTGCACAGCATGCAGCAACCAGGGCTATTGCAGAGCACGGACGTGCGGCTAGGGAGCAATGGGCAGGTGGGTGCCTTGTGTGTGTGTACATGTGTGTGCATGGCTGGGCATGCATGCACATCATGTGTGCGGGTGCACAGCATGCAGTAGCCGGGATTACTGGAGAGCACAGCTGTGCGGCTAGGGAGCAATGGGCAGGTGGGAGGTTGTGAGGGGCATGCCATGCATCTCATGCCATGCGTCTCATGCCATGCATCTCATGCCATGCGTCTCATGCCATGCATCTCATGCCATGCGTCTCATGCCATGCATCTCATGCCATGCGTCTCATGCCATGCATCTCATGCCATGCGTCTCATGCCATGCGTCTCATGCCATGCATCTCATGCCATGCATCTCATGCCATGCATCTCATGCCATGCGTCTCATGCCATGCGTCTCATGCCATGCATCTCATGCCATGCATCTCATGCCATGCGTCTCATGCCATGCATCTCATGCCATGCGTTTCATGCCATGCATCTCATGCCATGCGTCTCATGCCATGCATCTCATGCCATGCATCTCATGCCATGCATCTCATGTCATGCATCTCATACCACACATGCCGCACATTCCACACATACCATGCATGCCACACTCCAGTATCACGCACCATCCCTCATTCCATGTGGATCCATCGATGGCATCACAGATGGCGTCTCTGGGTCTGGACATCACATCTTACACGCCATATGCACCCTAAAACTCACGACTCATGCTCCTTCTTTCATGCCATGTGGATATGTGGCATGTGGCATGGCATCACAGATGGCGTCTCTGCGCTTGGACATCACGTCTCATGCGGCATACATGCCCGGACTACTACTTGCCATCAGAAGAGCCCCGAGATTGAAGGTGAGAGGAAGTATTGCCTCCCTCGCTCCCTCCCTGGACTTACCAATTGCTTTTCGGGGGCCAGCCTCCAGTTTTGGCTCCAGGGGTGAGGCTCCTCAAACCTAGCCTTGTAGGCTTATAGGCTTGAGGCGCCTACAAGGCTTGAGCATGTAGGCTTGTATGCTTGTAGGCTTGTATTCTCTAGTCTCCCAATACAGTTGTGAGTAGCTGGTGGAGCTAGGTGGCGCCTACAAGGCTAGAGCATGTGTGCTTGTAGGCTCCCAATACAGTCTTGAGTAGCTGGTGGAGTTTGTGTGGCTCCATCGTCCCTCCCATCATCCAGTATCAGCCCCGTCTCATGCACACGTTGGACTTCAAAACCTCCTCGCTCTCCTCCTCCGCCTCCACTCGTGCACGATGAGTGCCCTCTCAAACACACTGTTCTCTTGATTCTACTATTTGCTGCCGTCCTCTCTTGCCGCACTCCTCTCCTGCCGCCATCCCCAGTTTGTCATCCTCTCTTTGCCGTCTTCTTACCCCAAATATACTGCAGGGTCTCGTGTTTGGTCTTGAGAAGCTTCTGTGATGCGGCTGGCTGGCATTAGTTACTTTATTTGTTGGCCCCGGAATGTAGTTGCTGCTTGGCTTGCATGCAACTTCTTCCTAGTTTCGAGATGCCTCAAAACTAAATTGCCCCTTGGCTTGCATGCAACTGCATCAATCATCCTCATATTTTTTTTTTTCGTACATGTCTATTGCAGCAGCGACATATCCATGAGCTACACATCGTTATTGTCAAACATATATGCATATGTTATTATAGGCTAGATAGGTGCATGCTCTTAGTGAGAGCTCACTAGCACAAAGTCACCCTGTATGTTAGGAAGGTCGGACTGTACCCTCTAAGAATTGACCTAACTAAGGCTATAACAAATATAAACTAGCAAGCCTAGATAATTATATTTGTTGACACACCCCCTATGTTATGAATTAATCAGAGTAATAACAAGTAGTGTAATAAAGAAGGCGTGATTCAAGAGTGTCGATACAAATGAGGGCCTAGGCATTTTAGGCACGAACAGAGCTAGCCGAGAACCACACGAACATGTTGGGGCGATTCGGTTGGCGAAAGCCACAGAAGCGCTGCGCGTCTAGGTTTGGGTTCGCGAAATGGTTTGGGACCGAAGAAGTTGGCCGAGCCTGGACTTCTGAGAGTCGAGGGCGTACACGCTGTAGTTGAGCCCAGTAAGGAAAAGGGAATTTCCTTGCACCACCCCCCCTTCCGGGATGAGACTACCCACATCTGGGACACGTCGTCGGTGTAAATAGTCCCGGACGACTTTGTGTTACAGTGGCGGAAACAATTGTCCATATGTTTAGCACATTTTTACATTTTGACGAGCTGTACGCTATAAACATTAAGCCTTAATTCATGGTGGCCATACACGTAGAGAGGAGCAGTTAGAACACTCACTCAAATCTCCTAAACCCAGAGTAGTATATTTCATGGTCCTTCAAGATGACAACATTTAATAACAGCACATCCGGACAATTTGTACCGGGGACAGGCAGCAAACTAGTTACTAGCAAAACTAGTACCTAGTCAACCGACACTTGGCCTTGATCACCACCTACACCCTCCTAGGCATGTTATCTACGAGGTTAGTGCAAACCTTTACAGGGATCTTCTCGCACTCTTCCTGGACCCACGCTTTTGCATAAGGGGGTGAGCAGTAGGAAAATCACGAAGTATTTGAATGTATGCAAGAGTACTGTGCACGATTTCATGTTGAATGTTATCTCTAAGACTAGCCATGCTGAGGTGTTGCCAAAGATGCCATTAGTCGATGGGTGTCTTATCATGGATCGGCTTCATCGCACCGTTGTAGGTAAAAATTACGAGCAGAGTGGCGAAAATTTGCGTATCTGCCACGAAACTTAGGGTAACATAGCACGGTTGACAGTGCATCCTTGCACTATTAGAATCACGCTAGGATTCGTAGGTCTCTGAGCGGTGCAGCAGTCGAAATAGTCATGACTGGTGGGGAAAAATATCCGGGTTGAGATATGGGAAGTGACCCACTTCCTCACCAGACTTGAACTCTCCGCACTCCAGGTAGTGGTGGCAAAGGTCCCCTGTCGCCTCGTCGATATCCTTCGTCACTTCGGTGACATCGACCTGGTGGAAGTGACAGACAAGGGAGTGGAGTCAGAGGGTGATTCCAAACGTGCATGCATGGGACAAAAACTACAACCTGCACAGTGGTAGAAGCTCACCTCCCCCTTCTGGAATTTGAGGTTGAGCTTATTCATCACTCCGAGCATGTCCGCCAGGAAAAAAAGACAGAACTGGAACTTGTAACAGATGACGACTTCATACAGCTCATGCCCGTACTCATGAAACAGAAAAATAGCGGCGCCAAGGACCTTACAGAGGCGCCGCACAGCCTCACCTCTTGAAAGCCAGTGCACGGTGTGAATTCCTTGCACTTCAAGGTTGGTGTTGTGTATTGCCCGCTGCAGGTACTTGAAGCGTTGACTCCAGACACATGAACGTCCCAGAAGATCGGTCAGAGTCTGAATCACAAGGTCGACCATGTCGAAGTCTGGAGAAGCAATGGCGGCGTCCTTCACCGCCAGGGCTTCCCTGCATGGTGCACACACAGGAATTTTAGTCAAGCAGTTGTAGGAAACCTAAGTGACTGAAATGACAAGCGGTTAAACCTGTGCGCGATGCAGTGCGAAGAGACGAGATGGGGGATGTGCTCGCGAAGTCGGGTGACGAGACCATTGTCTCGGCCGACCATGACAGAGGCACCGTCGGTGCTCATGCCGGTGATTCGGGAGAGGTCGATGCCAGTTGCTCGCAAGTGAGCCAGAAGAACGACAAGGAGAGACGCGGCGTCGCACTTTTCGACGGTTAAGAGAGCAAAAAAAATTGTGACAACACGATGCGCACGCAAGAAGGTTAGGTAAACAATGAGATGTTTACCGCGAGTACGGTCAGTGCTCTCGTCACAGTTGATGCCAAGGTAGGGTGAGGCGAGAATGTGTTGCATTTGTCGGCGCTGCAGGTAGGATGCCAAGCTGTTGACGAGCTGACAGAAGCCATACCTGTAGTAGCAGAAGTAGCAACAGGGAGGTTGTTAGACCTATTAAAGAAATGAAGGATATGGTGCATTTGGAATCAGTGCATTACCGTGTCATGTAGACTCCGTAAGACTGCAGCGAAATGTCTGGGGTCTCCTGCTCGGCCATGAAGCGGAGTAGCTTCGGGTACATGCTGATTGGTGCATCACACTTGCACAGGAAGTCGACGCAGCGTAGGAGCCTCATGACGCACTTCCCCTCGATGTCAGTCCGCGCGTAATTCTCCATGCGCCTCTGGGTGCTGGCAATGTCTTCAGCGATCTCCATCTGACGCTTGACTGCTGCTTCGTGGACTGTCGTGTGTTCGTAGAACCGCATCGCTTGCGTCTGCAGGTCACGTGCCCCGTCGCGGCTGCTGGAGTACGGTGTTGTCTCTTTGCCGAAAGCCTTGCACACACTGCACTTCAACGCAGGGTAACCGTCTTTCGTTTTCGTTAACAGAAGCCAAGGGAAAAATGGAAGCCAGCTGGTCTTATACTTGTGCTCAGCCATGAGATACTTCTGCTCGATGAGTTCTTTCTTTGAGAGCTTCGGCGGCTCGGGTTCTGGAATAGCAGGGGCCTGAGGATCAGCCCACGTGCGAGGCGGTGACGGTCGACGTAGCTTCCCACCGAGGACTATCGTGCTCTGGGTGTACTTCCCGATGCGTGTTTTTTTCCCTGATGAAGCACACTCGACCGTGTAACGCACGGTCGTGGCTGTTTCGCAGTCTGGAACCCAAGGGCCCCGACTAGATGAAGCGACCGTGGGCGGAGGTACATAGGGAGCGGGACTAGATACGTGTTGTGATGGTGTTGCGACTGCTGTGGGAGACTGCAAGATATCTAGAGCGGATCTACGGACCTCCACGGGGGGGTCCCTACCTGGTCCAGAACCATCATCGGCGGCGGGAGACTCACCAGACTCTCCTACATCTGCCATGGCTAGTAGCGGCGGATATGGTCAAAACGAGAACTAGGCGCGACGAAAGTGGACGAGAAAGAAAAATGGAGCATCTCACATGTGCGATGTGAAGAAGAGGAGGAAATTGGGTTGGAGGAGAGGCTGGTGAAGAAGATGCGAAGGGGACCAAGAAACCCCAGATTTCGCGTTTCATGGATAGTGCATAACCCGTCCAGGATCCCGCATCGCCATGGCAATACCGTCGACGGCGGGACGCACCTGCGCTGGCATCGTATGCATAGAGATGATTGGCTCTGTGATGTCATACAGAGGCAGACATTGCAGCGCTCAGCATATTCTGTCATCGTCTGCTGCGTGCTGAGTCACGAATGCCAGGCTGGGGCATGACAGAGTGCACCATCCGACACTTAAAGATTGGAAATGTTGCTGAAATGGCAACATACGGCGTGTACAGGGCAGGAAAGTTGCCAAGTGCAGATTCTCCACATGACGCCTGCTGGTCGTATTCATTAGACTGGGACCCGTCACGCGTAAGGGGGCCATTTCGCCGAAACTCAGGGTCCGCATGGATGTCGCATTCTGGGTTCGTACGCGTTACTCCCTGAAAACTCAGTTTTGGGATAACGCAAACCCTGAAATTCTAAGTGTTCACAGACATACAACCTTGTATCAGGAATTGAAGAAGTGAATTTAATGTTAGAGAGCGGGTACACACAGATATACCTAAGTGTTGTACCCTCTAAGAGGCTACCCTATACAGTCTAAACAAACATGACAAATACACATGTTTGACACACCCCCTAGACTGCATAGGGGAATGACCTAAACAAGCAGCTCAGGGCGGCACTACTAGTCCAACCTCTGAGACAAGGGTCTGAGAGACCAGTCAGAAGGAGTACAGACAAGGCAAGAACAAGAGCAGGGCGGCACTACTAGTCCAGCCACTGGGAGAGGACACAAGTCCAGTCTGAGTATACATATAAAGGACAGTACAAAGTCAAGGTCCTAGCAAGTGAGAGGCTACAGGAACTAGGCCAAGCTGTACACAGTGCCGCTGATGATCTTTAGGCGCAAGCGCCTTCGTAAAGATATCAGCCGTGTTGGCACCTGAGGCCAAGTGTACTACGCGAGCCTGACGTCGCTGATGTAGCTCACGCAGGAGGAAGTACCGCAGCTGAATGTGCTTCGCTCTGCCCTTGAGTCGAGGCTCCTGACACAGGAGGATCATGGCCCTGTTGTCAGCGAACAGGACCGGGGCAGAGCTAGGCCGCTCACCTAAGTCAGTGAGCAAGAAGGTCAGCCAGCGAAGCTCCTGTACCGCCATGGCACCAGCGTAGATCTCAGCCTCACAGCTGGACTGCGCCACAGACGAGGAGCGAGTAGCTCTCCACGAGACGGCACCTGAGCCAAGGCTGAAGCAGTAGCCGTGGGTAGACCTGAGTGTCTCGGCGTCGTCTGCCCACGAAGCGTCTGTGTGTCCAGTAAGGACCACTGGCCTGCGTCCTCCTAGCACTAACCCCATGCCCGATGTACTAGCAAGATAACGCAAAACCCTCTTAGCGGCAGACCAGTGCTGCGGTCGGTGTCTGCCTGTGGCCACAAAACGAGCCAGGATGCTGAGAGGGTATGCGAGATCTGGGCGAGTGCAAGTCATCAGGTACATGAGGCAACCCACCAGCTCTGCGTAGGGGCCGCTGGGCTCTACCAACTCCTCAAACACTGGAGCGGAGAGTCTGTGGTCTACAGGCAGAGGGGTGGGCTGTGCAGAGGAGAACTGAAGGCTGAACCTCTGAAGGACCTGGCGCACCAAGTGTGACTGAGTCAGGGTGATGGTGCGCGCAGCTCTGTCCCTGGAGATCTG